TCCTGCGAGTAGCGCTGTTATCACGGGACGTTTATTAGTTGTCGGCAGCGTGGCCTGCCTATCAGATTTTACTTCGTCATGTGTGCGCAGTGATGTCTAGTTGATCGCCCCGTCGTGGCCAGCATATAATCTCCTGAATTTCAGATTTAATCGAAAATTCACTGACCATTTTTGAACTATACGGAATCGTTTCAGTGATGTGAAAAGTTCGGTAATAATGAACGAATTTGAGAAGAAAACTGAACGAGCACTGTTTTTGATGTCCCATATGAGCCATTTAGTAACACTCTACGAACGTATTGTTTTGTTCAGGTATCCCAAAGCTTTGTATATTTCTTTTTTAATGAAATATGTCTTTAAGGATAAATTTTTTCTAAAAATGGAGTTTAATCAGACGTCTGTATTGTCTTATTTATGCGTTTTTGCTGCGCTGCTACAGTAAGCAAAAACGCATATTGTCGTGAAATGGTCCGTGTATGTGTGTGTGTGTCCGAAAGCGAGTGAACTTTGTCACCTATTTTCAACTCAACAACCAGAAAAGCTGAGAGGCTTTATTCCCACCCCATGTGTCACCCTCCCGTTTTAAAATCTTCGCTTATACGCTCCTAGATCTCGCGTAGGGAACCCCCGGAAAAAATGGTAGTTCCTTTGGCTGGGAACGATTTCGTGATCCAGATAAGGTAGAAAACTGAAACTTTGCAGGGATACTGTCCGTGCATGTATGAGCTAGAAATTTCAAATTCAGCTATTGCACATGCTTATTCCGGTGTGCGGTCACGTCAAAGTTTGCAATTTTCACTGTGCTAACTCAAAACTAATCGAAAAATAGTAGCTGAAATCTTGTCAGAATATTTGTTGTTCACGTGAAAAATTTCGATTTGCACTTGTGCCACGATTTAGAGCGCTTCAAAAATATTTGGCAAAGTAGTTATTTGGCTTAACAGACAAGCTGCAAAGCTGAAACTTTGCAAAGATATTCTGTATTCACGTGTGGTTTGAAGGTGAAATTTCCTTTACGCAGACACGAAAAATACTCAATTTTGCCGCAAACTGTAAAGCGAGTGCATTTTGCAGATCCCATAATCCTTTCCCGACTTTCTTTAAATTTGCATTTTTTCAATGAATGAGCACTCACTTGAAAAACGACCGGACCTTATGCAAAAAACTGATAATCATGAATGCTGGAGGCCCACACTGTTCCACAGTGCAACATCTTCATACCAGCCGGCGCTCTTTCTCTTACATGCAGTGAGAGGTCAAAACACAACCAGTATGAGTCCAAGTTTTAAAATGCAGCACATAGATCATTCCTGCTGTTAGCGATCTACAAGTTTAGCACAAAAACGCGTGGTCGCACCGATAAAAGTCTGGTGCGTTCCAGTTGGCTATTAATAAAGTAAATGCTTATTTCTGAATTCTTGACGTGTTATTTTGTGGACAGGAAGCGGCTGAGACATTTTTTTTCTGTTTTCATGTCGTTTGATGCTATTTTAGCTATGTTTTTTCGTCGACTGAATTTTTTGGAACTCGTTCCAGAAAATACATTGCATCTGAGAAAGAAAGTTTGGAGGGAACGCCGAGTACGATGATAACTGTGGAAAGGAATCGATTGCTGGACGATGGTTATCGACAACTTTCAATGTTAACGCCTGCTGCACTCAAAGCGACCATTCGTGTGAAATTTATCAATCAGCAGGTCATTTTCATGTTAGCCGCATGGGGCAACCATTTTTTGCTTATTTCTAGCAGATCCATTAAGTCTTCAAAATATGTTTTCTTTATAATTGATGTTTATTATGCGTTTTTACCGTGCAGCGCTGAAGCGCTGCAACAGGCAGCAAAAACGCATATTGCAACGACCCTGTCAGTGTGGATGCGAGCTCATGAAAGTCTTGGTGGGAAAACTGATAACTCTGAAACGAGAAAAGTTAGGAAGCTGAAAAGTTCGGGTAATGTTCCCTACCCGTGTATGACAAAAAGATATCAAATTCAGCTGCCCAGGACTGCCCTGGGTTTACGTACGGACAAGTGAAAATTATGGCGGAAAAATTCATAACTCGAGAATGAGAAAAGCTAGAAAGTTGAAAGCTTAGGGGAATGTCCCCTACTCACGCATGACCAAAAGTTTTCGAAATCAACTCCTTAGGACTGCCCGGGGCTCACGTACAGGCAATTGGAAATTTTGGCGCGGAAATTACTAACCCAGAAACGAAAAAAGCTAGAAAGCTGAAACTTTAGGGTAATGTTCCCTACTTATGTCTGACCAAAAGATTTCAAATTTAATTCCTCTAGTGCGGCCTTTTTTGCAGACCAGCAACTTTCCATTTGTCGAGTCACTGAAGTCGACATCTACAACTGACATACCACACAGTTGCACAATTAACTTCCCGAACTTCAAGGGCTAGTATATCACAGGGTTAGCTACTGTGATTCCTTGCGATCTAGCTACAGCACGAAAAGTGTAAAAACGCATAATCGCACCGTCCCGCCTGGTGCGTTCCAGCCTGGGTTTGATCTGGATTCCCACTTTTTTTTTACTAGTTTATATAATTCACATAAAATTTTACGGGCGCATTTGTTATAAAGGATATTAGGGTCTCCTCATACACTCGGGCCATTGTTTCGAAATGGTTATAAGAAAAACTTATCTTTTTCTTTTGTTGCCT